ATCCACTACATCAAGCAAATTGTGTTCGTTATGCATAGGTTCTCCTATCGATACATCGAATTGTCAGCGTTAATGGTTCCCGCTATTTCTGGCAATTTACCATCTTTTTCACTTGGTGGTGACTTAATTTACCGTTTGCCAAATATTCGTTTGGCTGATAGAAATTTCTATGAATCTAGATCAGTTGATCTACTCCTGATTTATATCCTAGAATTCTTCTTCGAGGAATTCAATCCAACATTTTGGGGTCATTAATGGCTCAAAATACTGTTTTTGGCTGGATCATTACTGGTCCAATTCCCTATTCCAACATAATGGTATTAAGTACCACAAATTATTCCGAAGATAATCCTAACAAGACACTTCTTCGATTCTGGGAATTGGAAGAACCTCCAAAGCCCGCAATTCTGTCTCCTTCGTACAAGTTTTGTGAGGAAAATTACAAAAGTACAACGTGTCGGGACTCAGATGGCAGATATATTGTCAAACTTCCCATTATACCAGAATTCTCAGGTCAGTTTGGTCACTCCAGGACCAACTGTTTACGTCAATTTTTCCGTAATGAGGCTTCCCTCATTAGAAAAACACAAATTAAAACCATTTACGATGGGGTGGTCCGGGAATATTTAGAATTAGACCACATGAGACTGGTTTCTACTTCGTCAGCAAGCTCTACGGTTTGCTACTTACCTCACCATCCGGTTATTAATCCGGATAAACAAACAACTAAATTGTGTGTGGTTTTCAATGCCTCAAACAAGACTTCTAATGGGAATAGTCTAAATGATATTTTTTATGTCGGCCCAACTCTTCAGTTTCTAAATTGGTGACTTTTCAAATTTGTTTTTAACTGCGACATAACACAAATGTACAGACAAATTAGAGTAGATCCTGCTCACACCCCCTCCAAAGAATTGTTTTTCGGGATTCTCCCAACAAGCCGGTTCAAGAATTTGAACTTCAAACAGTAACATTCGGAGTAAATTGTGGTCTATATCTTGCCTTTCGGACTTTACTACAATTGGCCGATGACACAGAAAATGAATTTCCATTAGCTGCACATATCCTTCGGAGGTGCATGTACGTAGATGACGTCTTAACCGGCTATCACGATTTGGAGACGGCGCACAAATCTAGAGACCAACTAATTGGTGCTCTATCTTCCGCAAAATTTGAATTACGTAAATGGAAGCCAATGATCGCAGTATTTTACAACCACTTCCTTCAGATCATCTTTACGACGCTCAGCTTCTAACTTTCGTAGAAGCTAGCAGTTCAAAACCGCTGGGTATTCGTTGGAATGCACAGCTGGACCATTTTTATTTCAGTGTAAACGCGCTGGAACATCGGTCCAAATATACTAAACGGGAAGTTTTGTCAACTATCGCAAAATTATTTGATGCAGTTAGATGGCTAGGACCAGTTATAGTGGTCGCAAAAATAATTATGCAACGTATTTGGCTCGACAACATTGGTTGGGATGATTCGCTTCCGTCTTCGACGGAACGTGAATGGCAGAAATTTGTTGAATCCTATCTTGACGTCAATTCGATTTCTATTCCTCGTTGGGTCCAATATTCTCCGAATTCCCAAGTCGAGCCTCATGTCTTTTCTGATGCCTCAGGAAAGGCATACGCAGGGGTAGCTTACATTCGTGTTATAGATTCAAATGGCACCATCTTCACAAATCTGCTCTCATGCAAAACAAAAGTAGCTCCGCTCAAATCTATTTCTTTACCTAGATTAGAATTATGCGGTGCAGTGCTGGCATCCGAACTTCTAAAAGGCATTCTAAACGAGATTGATATTTCTTTTAACAAAATTTATTGCTGGAAAGATTCAACAATTGTTCTTTCCTGGCTTCAAAAAACGCCATCAACATGGTCTACTTTCGTAGCAAATAGGGTCTGTCGTATTCAGGAGAATGTTGGGCAAAATAAGTGGTTCCACGTTCGGTCTGAGGACAATCCTGCAGACTTAGGCAGTCGGGGGCTTTCTTCTTCGGAGTTGGCTTCATCACAAATTTGGTGGCATGGGCCACAATGGCTAGGTCTTGATAGTTCAAATTGGAATATTCAAAACGTTTCGCTTGAAACTGTTGTCGAACTTCGCCCAGTTAAAAGTCATGTAACTTTTATACAAAACTATGAAGATATCTTAAATCGATTCTCTTCCATAGATACGGCGCTCCGCGCCATTGCATGTATCTAAGGTTTTTCTATAATACCCATTCCGCTCATCGTGGCAAATATCAGTTTGAAGGTTCCATCCCCACTAATTCCGAAATCCAAGCAGTCAAATTCCGTCTGGCTGCTTAAGCTCAAAAATCATTTTATTCAGAGGAATACTATGCGTTGCTACATGAAAAGCCAATCAATTCAAAGAGTTCAATCTTATCCTTAAATCCATTTCTGGATGAAATGGACGCCTTGCACAGTGTCCAACTCTTTCCATTTCTGAACGTCATCCAATTTTGTTACCATACCATAGTAGATTCGCAGAACTTTTGTTGGAACACATTAACATAGAGTCTATGCACGGAGGGAATCAATTAATGCTTCTCATTATTCGTCTGGAATATTGGATTCCTCGTGCTACTTCGTTGATGAGAAAAACAATAAGACATTTAAAATATGCATTTTAGCATCTCGAGAGTTAGAACGAGAATTTAAACTGACATTAAATGTAATTCGTAATAAGCTCCGATCCAAGTTTCAATACCAAGAACTTGCATTAAAGTTTAATCCAGCCGGAGCTCCACATATGGGTGGAATCTGGGAATCTGCTGTCAAAAGCTTCAAAACTCATTTTCGAAAAATGACTAAAAATCTTAAATTTACATTTGAAGAGATTTCGACAGCACTAACAAGAATAGAAGCTTGTTTAAATTCTCGTCCTCTCTGTCTTATGAATGATAGTCTTGATGATACGGTGGCGCTTACACCTGGACATTTTCTTGTCGGGTCTCCAATCCTTGCTCCCCCTGAGCCCATCATAAACGAATCTCCTTTGGATATCGGTATCGAAAATTGAAAGCGCTCTCTCAACAATTCTGCCTTCGGTGGAAAGATGAATATTTAAAGAGCCTCCACCATCGCTACAAGTGAAAATGTCCGCAACGCGATAGTCAAACGGATGATTTAGTAGTTCTTCGACATGAGCAACTACCTCCCACTCGCGTCGTAAAAGTCTATCCAGGAATCTACGGTCATGTTAGAGTCGCGGACGTGAAAACGGAAAACGGTATCGTGAAACGACCGTAGTTAAGCTTGTCATTCTGACTGACCAAGAATAGATAGTTGTCCTCTCTTCACTGCGCCATCTCCATTTTTTCGCAGATATGGAAAACTTGAGGAAGATGGCCTCTTCCCTTCCAATTGTGGATGACAACATCCCAATGTCGGATGAAGAGAGAGAGTTTGAAGACAACAATGTGGTTCCTTTAGGATCACAAGACTCGGCGTTTAAAGATATTATAGAAGCTCCTAATCAGAAGTCTGCTCCGGGTCTTCAAGCCTGCCAAACCAGCTCATCGGCTGATAAGAAGATGGTTGCTTCTCCTCATCGGGAGAATAGCACAGCAACTGTGGCTCTCCCCAGCACCGCATCGGTTGTCTCTCCTCATCAGGAGAATTGCACGGCAACTGTTGTGTCCAATCCGGGACTTTCGTCCCAAATGGCGGTTGATACCCTTCCGGTACTTGGACTATTCCTTCGGCGTCTCCCCATCGGGAGCTTGCACACGCCAATGAGGAAAACACAACAAAAAGTACGGCCACTATTCCTTGTGGTAATCAACCAGTGGCAGGATCTAGTCGTCCTCAGGGTCCGAAATGCCTAATGTGCATACAGAGGCATTTCTTGAAGGATTGTCCTGATTTTCACAAGCTTCCTTGAGAGAAAAAGATTCGATTTGTGGTCCAGAATATCTTCTGTTCGAATTGCTTGACTCGGTCCCACATTCTTAGAGATTGCTTCAGTATTCGACGATGCAAGAAGTGTAGCAGTAACCACCTCACACTTCTTCACTCCAACCACATACAACATGGAAAAGTCCGCCCTTCGGGTAGTAGAGACTATACGTCTCGTGCATTTAATTTGTCGCCCTCGTTCAATTCAAATTCGTCCGCTAAAATGAAGACCTCTGCTAAACGTCCGTCCGTTCGCTCTCATCAGATATCGTCCGGCCCTTCGGGGGCCGTCCGTCCGATAGTTCAGTCCATACAGCCCATTGGGGCCTACAATGGTGGTACAAATTGTTCTTCCGGACCGAAAAGTACCAGTTCGAGCGCTATTGGATCCTTGTGCTGGACATAGTCGAATTTGCTACACGCTGCCTAGTAAACTCCAGCTCAGCTCCTTAGACGTTGGCCAGGATTTGTTCTGCCAACTGACTTTACAGTCTTTTCACGACCAGACGCAGCTGCTTCGTGTATCCGCACTTAGCATGCTCTTGAGACATGTGGTCACTCCTGCGCAATCTGCGCCACACCTAATAAAGGACCACTATGCTGGGATGCAACTAGCAGATCCCGAATTCTACAAGTCCGCTCACATCGCACTAATTCTTGGTCCCGATGTGTACTCGAAGTTTATTAAATCTCAAACCCATTCGAGTCCAGGGTTCCCCTGGGCTCAACTAACTATCTTTGGTTGGGTGGTATCCGGTCCTTGTCCACTGTGAGGTTGCCCGAGATGATCGGCCTAAATCGAGACCCATGATCTACAATTTGTGGAAGGCAATCTTCTATTGCCTGGATGGTTCATCGACCATCACATGTTTTTTTGAAAAAATGAAAAAAAAAAATATAAATAAACTGAATAAATAATGCTCAAAAAAGAATTGACGGTAATATCTTTCATTCATTTGTATTTTAAACTTTAGATTTAAGTATTATTGTTGTCAGCGTGACCGTTGTGACACTAAAGCATCAATTTTGCCACTTTTTTTGGGCTATGATACCTTTGTGCCACTTTTTTATTTTGATCCTAAATGAGCCGCTTTTTTTTACTTTTTGTGCCACTTTTCTATGAAATACATATATTTTAATCTAAACGCTGTATTTAAAACAATGAAATGAAATGAAATAATGAAAAGCGTCGTACGCTGCCATTTCCAATTAGCGATAGCAAATTTCAGAGCGAACGCTTTTATATTAGGTGTTTTAAGTGGTTTTCGCATGCTCAAAGTTGTCAACATTGTTGTGTTTGTTTATTTCTAGAAGACTCTATTGTTATTGTGAAATAACGTGGAACAGCTGTTAAGAGACATTTTAAATTACTTCAAAAGTGCAAGGAGGCAATCAGATTCTTTCGAATCTGTTTCCAGACGGGTACTGCAACACTATTTTATAAAAAAAAAAAATTTGAGACAAAATGTGGAAAGCAATTGAAAAAATATATATATTCATTCAAAATGTGTTATCAATAGTAAACAAGATATATTAAAATTTTTTAGTTTATGTTCTTAAAATAATGAACACTCTAAACACCTCTTTTCAAAGCGAGTCTTCTTCACATATAATATACCTTTGTTCTATGAGAAAAGATATTTTACTTCAACTTTTGAGAAACTTTGTAAAAAAGGAATTCATAATTCGTCTTGAAATTTGGACCATTGATTATAAAAATTGTTTTCACATCAAGGATGTAACCCAACTATATATAGATTATGAGGCGCAAACATTAATTTCTTCTGAAAATATAACAGAGGAAAATATTTATCTAATTAAAGGCAATTTACTTAAATTTTATCGATATGCATGTGATCAAATATTGCCGAGAATTGATATTAATAAACAAAATTTTGATGATTTTAGCGACATTATTCAACGGAATAGTTTCAAATTTTGTATTTGAAGTTCGTAATGGATACTTCAAAATTTTAGCTTCCTATCTTAATTCGTTTAGACTGTAGCGTGATAACAACAGACGGACAGACGGACGGACATGGCTAAATCGTCTTAGAATTTTTTTTAATATATATATTCTTTGTTGGGACTAAAATGATTATTTCGATGAGTTACAAACGGAATGACGAACCTAATATACCCTCCATACTATGTATGGTGGAGGGTATAAAAAACAAAAACAAATAAAAAAGCATCTAAGTTCGGCCGGAACGAGCTTAATACCTCCACCACTTGGAAAATTAAAAAAAAAAAAGATCCGCCGAAAAATGCCGTTAAAATAAAAACTGTAGTACCGATTCTGAAATTCAAATGTGAAATTTGAAACAATGCCGGTCTGTCGGACCTGTATACGCAACTTTGTCAAAGACTATTAAGAGCTTCAAATACGGAATTTGAAACAATTCCTGTTAATAATGTCGCTTAAATCATAAAAGTACCGAATAAAGGGAGGTACCGTTATGTGGGGCTATACGAAAATGTGGGCCGATATGACCCATTTACGAACTTACTTGAAAAATGGATGGAATGGACATTTGTGTCCAAGTGTAGGCACTTCAATTTTAGGCATAGTGGTGATTAACTCTCCGGTCGGATCCTTCGAACAGCGGGGAATTGCAAGATTCTTCTGGGACACGATAAAATTTGCAATGTCGGTTGGGAAGACTTTGTGGATTTGTAGATATTTTTGATACGTAGTGATACGTAGGCCGTTAATATTCCCATTTTGAAGGCTATTGGATGAATTGAATGAATGAATATTGAATGTATTATGTGGGGCTATACGAAAATGTGGGCCGATATGACCCATTTACGAACTTACTAGAAAAATGGATGGAATGGACATTTGTGTCCAAGTGTAGGCACTTCAATTTTAGGCATAGTGGTGATTAACTCTCCGGTCGGATCCTTCGAACAGCGGGGAATTGCAAGATTCTTCTGGGACACGATAAAATTTGCAATGTCGGTTGGGCAGACTTTGTGGATTTGTAGATATTTTTAGATATTTGTAGACCTGTGATACGTAGGCCGTTAATATTCCCATTTTGAAGGCTATTGTATGAATTGAATGAATGAATATTGAATGTATTATGTGGGGCTATACGAAAATGTGGGCCGATATGACCCATTTACGAACTTACTAGAAAAATGCATGGAATGGACATTTGTGTCCAAGTGTAGGCACTTCAATTTCAGGCATAGTGGTGAGCCTAAGTCCCCAAAGATTAACTCCTCGGTCGGATCCTTCGAACAGCGGGGAATTGCAAGATTCTTCTGGGACACGATAAAATTTGCAATGTCGGTTGGGCAGACTTTGTGGATTTGTAGATATTTTTAGATATTTGTAGACCTGTGATACGTAGGCCGTTAATATTCCCATTTTGAAGGCTATTGGATGAATTGAATGAATGAATATTGAATGTATTATGTGGGGCTATACGAAAATGTGGGCCGATATGACCCATTTACGAACTTACTAGAAAAATGGATGGAATGGACATTTGTGTCCAAGTGTAGGCACTTCAATTTTAGGCATAGTGGTGAGCCTAAGTCCCCAAAGATTAACTCCCCGGTCGGATCCTTCGAACAGCGGGGAATTGCAAGATTCTTCTGGGACACGATAAAATTTGCAATGTCGGTTGGGCAGACTTTGTGGATTTGTAGATATTTGTAGACCTGTGATACGTAGGCCGTTAATATTCCCATTTTGAAGGCTATTGTATGAATTGAATGAATGAATATTGAATGTTCGAAGTTTCATGAAAATGCGATACTTACTTTGCTTTCTATGAAATTGAAATCTTGCTGTACAGCCGATGAACCAATTTGTGTCTGAGAAATTTGTTGCAAAATCAATCAATCAATTCAATTCAAGCCTTAAAGAAAAAAAATGTACATTTATTTCTTTCTATTTCTCTTTAATCTTTACAAAATTTTGACAAACAATATTCAAAATTTTGCTGTTGAAAACATAAGCAAGTAAGTAAAGGTTCAGGTAGACGTACCACAAGTAATAAAGTAATATTATATTACTTGTGGCATATATTTTTCGCCCTGCCCTGCCCTGCAGAATTATGTTATGGCACCGTTATTCGAATGTATTGAATGTGAGTACGGTTACGGGGTTGGTTATGGCTACGGCAATATTGTATGTATGTACGTATGCCTTAAAGGCTACAATCGGACATGGCCGATCATGTGATACTTATGCACCATTATAAATTACGATAAAGTTTTTGTAGATCTGAAAGTCTTTTGACTGGAATGAACGATTATCCTAAGCGACTGCTCTCTGCCAAGCAATTGCAAAATCTGAGAAAAATACAGCTTCATCTCCAATAGTATTAGGACTCCACTCTGATGATAGCTATGAGGATTGGACAATAATTGCGACCTCTAGAGTGAGTACAATTGTGAGAACAAAAGTGAGAAAAAAAAAAAAACAATTAAAAATGCAGTAAGTTCGGCCGGGCCGAACTTTGAATACCCTCCACCATTTGAAAAGAATTAGAAAATTTTCAAACAAATAAAATCCAAAAAAAAAATTTTTTTTAAATCTTTAAAATATCTAATATAGGAAGGTGCCGTTATATGAGGGCTATACGATATCGTGTACCTATATAAATAATTCTCTGCCGAGGTATAAAGTACCCACAAGGAACTCCTTGTGCGGATTTTCATACAATTCCATTGGAAAATGTTGCTAAAATCATCAAAATACCGAATATCGGGGGTACCTTTATACGGAGTCTATACGATATAGTAGACCTATATTGATGATTCTCTTTCAATGGATAAACTACTCACAAAGAACTCCTTGTGTAGAATTTCAGACAATTCCATTGAAAAATGTGGATAAAATCATCGAAATACTAAATATCGGGGGTACTGTTATATGGGCGCTATACGATATGGTGGACCTATATAGATAATTCTCTGCCGAGGTATAAAGTACCCACAAGGAACTCCTTGTGTGGATTTTCAGACAATTTCGATGAAAAATGTGGGTAAAATCATAAAAATACCGAATATCGGGGGGTACCGTTATATGGGGGATATACGATATCGTGGACCATCAATAAAATGAAATATTTACAGTTCACGGTTTTATTAGATTACATGAATTTAATACTTCTTAATTTCTAACTTAAAAATCTTCAAGCTGTTGTAACACTCAACACTTCACAACTTCTACTCTGTGCACGAACGAATTTATGAATGAATGTTCCCTGTAAATTTAAGCGCTTACTTGCCTTTTTGAAAATCTCCGTCTTTCATTTTGGCTGTGTTTAATATTTTGCTTATCAAAGCTTCTTACTTCGTTTTTGCCTGCGTTCTATTATTTCTACTTTTGCTGTGTTCATTACTTATTACCTAAATTAGTGGAAGGCGCAATGTAATTACAGCGTTCTACTGAGCCCGTTCCTACATATATACTTTGTAAAAAAATGTTTGTAATACATGTAAAAGACAAGATGCTATGATTGCGTCACACATTTTAGTTTTGCACTAATTTCTAAAGATTGCAACGTATATTTCATTTAATACTTACAGTTTTCAATATTCTCACCAACAAGCTCCTCTAGATTGGATTCCCAAAATCTTGACCAGAATGGTTTTAAAACGGCTAACCTGTGTGGAAAAGGAATAGTGAGAAAATGAATTTTTTAAAGATAAAATTTATTTAATATACCGGGCCGCAATTGTTGGAATGCTGTATAGTTCGGTTATTGAATTAAATGTAATATTGGTAGATTGAAATAAATATTAGCAACGGGACAGAATGCTTGAATCAATTTCGCCGGATTTATTGTAGGGATTTCAGGCAATATCCTTTTAAAAATTTCCAGGATAAGTCCTCGTTAAGCAACGTAGTTGTTATTTCAAATTATATTTCCTTTGTAATAATTCAGAAGGTGTCCTTTTAAATGTTCAGGCAGCTTCCATTTAGACTTTCCAGTGACCTTTCAAGTTTGTTTGTGATCACTTTTGGCGTTTTTAGCTATTACTTGCGTTCACTATTTTAAGAGTGAATTAATAAAAACTTTAAAATGGCCATAATTCCTTAAATATTGAGTTTTCGGTGTTTTCACCTATTATTTGTGATCACTATTTTAACAGTGAATTAATAAAACTTCAAAATGGCCATAACTCCTTAAACATCGAGTTTTCAGCATTTTTAGCTATAATTTGTGATCACTATTTTAAGCACGAATTAATAAAAACTTTAAACTGGCCATAACTCCTTAAATATTGAGTTTTCGGCGTTTTTAGCTATAATTTGTGATCACTATTTAAGCACGAATTAATAAAAACTTTAAACTGGCCATAACTCCTTAAATATTGAGTTTTCGGCGTTTTTACCTATTATTTGTGATCACTATTTTAAGAGTGAATTAATAAAACTTTGAAATGGTCATAACTCCTTAAATATCGAGTTTTCGGCGTTTTTAGCTATAATTTGTGATCACTATTTTAAGCACGAATTAATAGAAACTTTAAAATGGCCATAACTCCTTAAATATGGAGATTTCGGCGTTTATAGCTATTATTTCTGATCACTATTTTAAGCACGAATTAATAAAATGGCCATAACTCCTTAAATATTGAGTTTTCGGCGTTTTTAGCTATTATTTGTGATCACTATTTAAGAGTGAATTAATAAAACTTAAAAATGGCCGTAACTCCTTAAATATCGAGTTTTCGGCGTTTTTAGCTATAATTTGTGATCACTATTTTAAGAGTGAATTAATAAGACTTTAAAATGGCCATAACTCCTTAAATATCGAGTTTTCGGCGTTTTTAGGTATAATTTGTTATCACTATTTTAAGCACGAATTAATAAAAACTGTAAACTGGCCATAACTCCTTAAATATTGAGTTTTCGGCGTTTTTAGGTATTATTTGTGATCACTATTTTAAGAGTGAATTAATAAAACTTTAAACTGGCCATAACTCCTTAAATATTGGGTTTACGGCCTTTTTATACCCTCCACCATACTATGGAGGGTATATTAATTTTGTCATTCCGTTTGTAACTCCTCGAAATACTCACGTCAGACCCAACAAAGTATATATATTCTTGATCAGCGTAAAATTCTAAGACGATTTAGCCATGTCCGTCTGTCTGTCTGTGTGTCTGTCTGTCTGTCTGTCCGTCTGTCTGTCTGTCTGTCTGTCTGTCTGTCTGTCTGTTGTAATCACGCTATCTTTCGAACAAATTGAGATAGATGGCTAAAATTTTGCGCACATGTTTATTTTTCCAGTAGGCAGGTTAAGTTCGTAAATGGGCCATGTAGGTCCAAGTTTTCATATAGCCCCCATATAACGGTACCTCTCGATATTCGGTATTTTGATGATTTTAGCGACATTATTCACCGGAATTGTTTCAAATTTGGCATTTGAAGTTCGTAATGGATACTACAGCCTAAGACAGAAAATTATCTGTGCAGGTTCACGTCTTCGTATAGCCCCCATATAACGGTACCCCCCGATATTCGGTATTTTGATGATTTTAGCGACATTATTTAACGGAACCGTTCCAAATTCGGTATTTTGATGATTTTAGCTACATTATAAACAATTTTTTCTTCATGTTTCGCATTTAAATGTTGTAATAACTTATGACAAAAGTTGCGTAAAATAGTGATCACAAATAATAGCTAAAAACGCCGAAAACTCCATATTTAAGGAGTTATGGCCATTTTAAAGTTTTTATTAATTCGTGCTTAAAATAGTAATCACAAATAATAGCTAAAAAGGCCGAAAACTCAATATTTAAGGAGTTATGGCCATTTTTAAGTTTTATTAATTCACTCTTAAAAAAGTAATCACAAATAATAGCTAAAAACGCCGAAAACTCAATATTTAAGGAGTTATGGCCATTTTTAAGTTTTTATTAATTCGTGCTTAAAATAGTGGTCACAAATAATAGCTAAAAACGCCGAAAACTCCATATTTAAGGAGTTGTGGCCATTTTAAAGTTTTTATTAATTCGTGCTTAAAATAGTGATCACAAATAATAGCTAAAAAGGCCGAAAACTCAA